AAAACATCATTTAAAAACTGCATTTTGTATTTACTTGCATTATCTTTGTGTAATATTAAAATTAGTTTGATGATCTGAATCTTTTTAAGTGTGACAAATATGCAAAAAATAAAAAAAACAGGAAGGGGGCAAAAACCTTTTCACACCACTGTAACTATAAAATATAGGCTACTCAATTTTTCTCTTGCAGGCACTCATGTCACTTCCATTTTTTTCAGGATAAATGAATGAATTCATGTGTTGTAAATCAGTCTGTAGGCCAATAGCGCACACAGCCCCTAAATTTAGCAATCGACTATGTATATTATAAACTTAACATTTAACATACAACATTTTTTTTCTATTAAATGATTTTGTCTTAGTTACTTTTATAAAGGATGGTAGCACAGCATTTTTGAATGATTGTCTTCATGAGTTTGTCTGCATCCATATAGCATGTTTCCTCTCACTTGCAAAGTATGCTTGCAGTTATTTCTTCGAGTTCTTTCAAAGCAGTTCTTTCTGCGTTTCCGCTCACATATTTTTAAATATTTTTCATTGAGGTTCCAAATAATGTCTCATTGGCTTAGATATAACACCTAAAAGCATATAGCTATTCTTATGCACACATGCAGATGCGGACAAAGTACTCAACTCTATTACTTGAGTGAAAGTACAGATACTGCTGGTCAAATATTACTCCATTACAAGTAAAAGTTGTAAAGACAGATTTTTACTTAAGTAAAAGTACAGAAGTACTTGCTTTTAGAAGTACTTAAGTACCAAAAGTAAATTTCCTTTTTTATGTCAATGCACTGTTTTATTGTTGTACGTAATACTTGCAATACTTCTGATGCAACTTAGAATACATTACACCTACTAGCTTGTAGTATCTTTGGAATAAAGACCTTTTCGAATGTTAAAAAGCTATGGGGGAAAATTAACACCCCTACCCACCCCCACAAAAGCAGGATGGTAGTGATCTCACACAGCTCTGACAGTGTGTATGCACACATATGTGTAACCATTTGTTCACATTTGAACAGAGTGGACAGTGAAATCCTGTAAATACAGAGTGATAAGGAAGAAAAAACAAACAAACCTGCTTTAAAAACCCAGCAACACAACTGTAGCTGTACAACAGCAACACTGCTTTAACAAAAAATCTAAACAGCAAGACCTATTTGACATCAAAAAACATTTTTTTAAGTGCTGTCTAATTGCTCTCGTGGTACTTTTGATGTCACACACAGAACAGTCTATGCAGTGCTGCTTCAAGTCCAACACCTATTGTGTTTTATTAGGAGATGCACAACAGTTTTTCTGTGGCTTTATAGGTGTTACGTCTAAGACGTATTGTATGTTGTGGATGTGTTCCTGTTGTCTACTATCTACCAGGATTGGTTCAAGGCTTAATGAGAGACTGCTGGTGAGTGGACCAGAGATGAGACCTGTACTATAAATTCCCCCGGATCACTGGAGGGCGCGCTCACTCTTGCTCTCACTCTTGCTGCTCGCTATGATCATTGCTCTGTATGTCTCTCTTTGATTGCTCTGGTGTAAAAACTGTGTGTTAAGTTGTAGTGAAAATGCTGCGAGATCTCAAGTCTATATTCTAACGGAGTGCTGTTAGTTCATGTGTTGTGAGAGCCTTATGTTTTTAACTTCAATGTTTCACTGTTTATGTTTGTAAGCCTCATGTGAGGCTGTAGGGGGTGAGTGCCTTATTTGTTTTTATAGGCCACTTGGCCATTATCCTTTTCTCCTGTTTTTGGGTAGACAAGGAGTGAGGTTAGATCTGTTGTATTTTGGTTTCTTTATTTTGATTCCCAGGGAAGTTAGTTTCTTTATGGGAAGTTAGTGTTGTTTGTTTGTTTTGGGCATTTGCTCACCCCTGATAATTTGCCTCAGTTTCTTTAATTTGTTTATTTGATGATATTGTTTGTACTCTCCAAAACTGCTACC